TGATAAATAAGTTGTCAATTTGAAATGATGATAATTCCGTTAGCTATATGACAAGTAAGAGACGACGGAAAAGAGTAGAAAAATCTCCGAAATGAGGAGGTGAAGGATTTTGTAGAATATTTGGGTCTTAGTGAGGATATGACGTCAAGGATTGAGAATAAGAAGTGCGGAAGAAATGAAAATAATCTGTACTCTGAGATATTTAATATGGCAGCTTAGTATGATACAGGTGAGTCAAAGGCATGCGATTCGTGCCATCAATCATGCTCTTCAGCTACAATAAAATGACACTTCTGCATATCACTATTGAGGATTAAGGTAAGTTAGCTGTTGATAGGAACAATAACTTTATCTCTCTTTCTCTCTCTCTTTCTTGGTTTTTTTTCCGTCTAACCTCTTAGAGCCTGGTTAGTTCGCAGATTCAGAAAATGCATTATGTAACGTACGGAACTTGAACTGTCTGAAGCTGGTATGTTTACTATGTTTATGAATTTCATCTTTCATGTTTCACCTTTATCCAAAGGTGAAACATGAAAGATGAAATTCGAAAAACATATTTTTTTGTGAGAGTCGTTACCTGCATGCATTACTCTTGGGAATATTTAATATCGATATGTAAAGAGATGCTATTATTCACAGAAAATTGTCACATTTTCATTATTATATTTCCAACACTGTGATACGTTTCTTGAAATTAGAAACCAACATCTTCTACTTTTTTTTTATGCACCTGATTGGATAAAATTGTCTTTGAAGTACATCAAAAAGCTATCTGAGTGAGAATCAATCACACTCAGACCAAATACTGGTAAATTGTGACATTGACATATATTTTTACTGTGTGGACCAATGTAATTGGTCAACACGTATTGGTTCAAATAGAGGAATAGTAATAACTTAATTGCAATACATACACACAAAACTTAGAAAGTCTTGCAAATAGTACATGTTTGAATTCATACTCAAATTTCGTACCAACCTTTTCTTCGTACTGTTGCGACACATATTTTGATGAAAATTTGGATCTGCACAAAGACCCTTTTAGTTGAATTTTTGGTACATTTTAGAACTTTCTGTATAAAGATATTTCAACATAAACGAGTGAAACAAAAATCTAGTGATAGAGTATCAAACCTAGTTAATCTTTCCCGTGAATTCCCGGGTATGTAGTTTTGCTATCCTTTTCTTTTACCCATTATATGCTCTCTAGACCACCTCTTTTTTCTTCATCAAGATTCAACTAATTAACACAACTTTAATGGTTGTGTGAAGTTTGCATCTAAACAAAGAGCCCCAACATGTCCAGGCAACTGGGCACATATTGACGATCCGATAAATTTAAATCATCGCCACTGGAATAGGAGTATATCTAAGAATATATCAAACGTATAATGCTCGTCATCTTGTAGATGTCACCTCTGATGGTTAAAATAAAGCAGAGGACAATTTCAACTTCCGATCTAATCATTCGAATTTGTAACCGCGTTCAGAGAGTTTTTGAAACGGTTAAAATTGAAATTGACAAATACAAATTTTGTAGACAAAAGTTACACGAGGTTGATATTATATCTACCACAATTAACAATGATTAAAGAAACCGAGGGGATGAAATTAAAATAAATTATAAACCTGCATTGAAGTTGCAGGTTATGTCATGAATCCGAAGGGATACTCTCGTACGGATGCTGCCTCAAGGTGACTTGGGTAAAGTATTTCTGACATCGAGAGAAATCCTTGCTTACCTGTACGTTTAGCTTCAACATAAGTGACGTCCTTAACTGCGAATATTCACAATGAAATGACGTACATGACCTCTGCTTAATACGAATACATGCATGTGCAGGTTTACCTAAAATTTTAATCACTTAGGATCTTCCTTGTATTCAATTCCGTAACTGATCTATAACTTATTATTATATCTTGTTTCTTACACACAGCATGTCAATGGAGAATGGTTGGAACCTTTTTTATAATTGATGGTTGAAATAACTGTATTAATCGTGGGATAGTTGTCGGTAATGACGAGCCTCTATCATTGATTTAAGATTGAAGAAACAAGAGCGTACATAATCCAAGAGCCGAAGAGGAGACCTCGTCAATGCCAATTAGAGAAGTAATTTATCCATTATCAATAGTTGAAGAAGGGCCTTCCATCTACTTATCTGACGTAAGAGAGATACGTAACTGTATTCTAGTATACCATTGCACTAACATAATTTATAATATATTTTCTTTCAACAGCGTTGAATGAGGATTTGGTTAGGTTACTAAACATTTGGAACCGAACATTATCTCCGACTTGTTTTCTGTATGTCTTTGGCTTTCCGTTTATTTTAATAACTAGAAGAGTGAGAAAATGATCAGTTTTACCGTGCTTTTCTTTCTGGGTTCTCTGGCTTTGAAAGTCGTGCCGCGGGGTTTAATTCTCCAGGTTTGCTTACTGCTCATCTCATGTCTTGCCCCCATTATGCTTCGTGCGTGGTCATGATTTTCTTCCTCAGCTGCCGTGCATACAAGTTTCACTCACTAGCATAATGCAGGACCTTGCACGTTCTCGTATCTTAGCGAACAATTGATATACTTCGATGGGCAAAAAGTAACGAGGACGCTTTAAACATAAACCCCAATCTTGATACCAATATTAAACAGCCTAAGAAGCTAATATTTAATGGGGGTTGAGCTGCTATGATAGCAAGCCAGCAAGGGATCCACGAAAGAACTCCATGGCAAACCTGTCATTACTATTCGGAGCATGGAGCTTTACACAGACATTGTAACCAGCACATGTACCTCTACTGATTGCCTTTTGCTATCGCGAGGACAAGACATGAAAATGTGAATCTTCAAAATCGTGCAGGGATAATCTGCCACCATTTATGTGTAAATCTCACATTAATACTTTTAGATGTAATAGTGGTATAGACAATACGCGGCCAGTGCAGTGCTGGTTTCCTGATTTGATGCAGTTGACGGCAGTTACAACATCTTGAAATTCACCAAAAATATTCCTTCATTTCTGTATTCGGTATGTCTGAATAGTAAAGGAGTCCCATGTACATTACAATGTTAAGCTATAAAGGGGCTTCGTTGGTGTAAAAGTTGTTAAACCACGATTTCGTTCAGGTGTAATTGAAGCACATCTGTAGAATTTATACGTTTCGTATGATCAGAAAATAATTGAGTATCTGTAAATTTCCTTTTTTTGATACAATTTAGTGATGTGATAAATTATAAATGTACATCCCTAATATGTGATTGTTTCTGTTCTATATAAAATAAGTGTACATGATGAATAAAACATAAAAACAATAAATGAGTCAAAACATTATAAAAAGTTAAGATTATTTTTGATTGCAAGTTAAGATTATTTTCTGGACATGAACAATATGATACGAGTTGAGAATTTTCTCTAGTAAATATTTCCACTTGAATTTTGGATTTGTATTGAAAAAAATAACCTTGATATAAATGTTGATATGTTTTAACACTATAAATGTCAACTTGTGTGTTATCCGTAGACGAATAGTGTTCCATGTTCGATGAAGCAGTTTTTTTATGAATCATAGTAAATGTCATATGTCATTTACTATGAGAAGTAACTTTACAAAATTTTTCTTCCGTAAAATTATATTATAATTGATGAAGAATATGTAGTATTCTTGATCTTTTTTTCAATGTAATATACTAATTGAAATTTAAAAAAAAGTAAATGAATTTTCACTTTACAAGAAGAGTTATGGCTAAACAATGTCTAATTTGATGATAAGGATACTATGTATAATGCAAGAAAATTCTAAAAAACTTTTTGTATTTAAAAACAATATTTGGTGATAATTAGTTACTCTAAACTCTATCATGAGATATAAAAGCTTGTCACTTCCACAAGTAAAGTTTCATAAAAAGCAATGGAAACTTTCACATACATATTTTATTTTTGAACTTGTATAACACTATAATGACTAGATTTGAAATTCTTAGAAAGTATCCTCTTCAGTGAATGTACCTATTGTAAATTGGTGTCAGATTTTGAATCGTTTAAATAGAAGTCCATTCTAACACCCAGTAACTTCTAGAAACACCGAAGAGCTGATTGCATATTTCATGTGCAGGTATTGTTCGCAGTCATCTGGGATATGGAAATACAAATATCCACATAGAAACCAATGACAGCTGGAAATGAAATATTTTCTCTCGAGAACCCTTGTCTTCATTCTAAAGCAGATGGATGTCGCGTTTTCTCCACATGTAATGAAACAGTTGTAATTCACGTCATTTCTGCAAATCCGCGTAGATACCGAGTATGTATACCTAGTGAAAGGGTATACTTACTACAATGTACACAGAGCTTAAGCATAGCAACTACCAGGGCAACAAGAAAACCAAGCATTTTCATTGTGGAATTAAGCACCAACCTATTCGATGGTACAATAATATACCCGATCATGGAGCAAAGTCGACAGATATGGAGGAAGTAATGGATCCAACTTGAATGGATACTGTAATGAGATACTGTAATAATCCGAATCCACTACTTCCTTCAAGATATGTCATCACAATTGATCCAGACCTGACAGTCAGAGAAATCGTCTTTTACATAGAGCACCGAAACCGCTTCTCTTGACACATCTATCTCTTTTCATCCTTTACAGAGCAAGGGAGCGTAGTCCAGCATTCGGAGACTTGGTTGCGTGCTTCGCATCGAGTGCTCCAAACATCCTCTGTTCACCGGATGTCATGCCAACAGCCTGTTTCCTGAATCTTTGTGTTCGATCAATTGAAGAGAAACAAAAACAACACTTCGCCTGCAAGATTAAAAATCTAGAGAGCACACTTCAAACATAGTGTGAGCTATCAGTTTCTCCTGTATATAGATAGACAGGACTTAGAAACAAAGGGTCACTCCAACACAACAAAACAATTCAGAAAATCAAGCATGCTGTGTCCTGCCCTCCACAGAATTTTTCTGCCACGTTCTTTCAGATTAAACGGTAGATCCTGGCATATAATCAATCATTTGATCTAAATTCTCCACTGAACGGTGGGAAACATTTTATTGACATTACAGTGGAACTACACGGAATATACAAGAGTGGCCTAGCCCAAGATAAAAGGGAAGTACCTAGATAATATATCCCAACCTCTGCCACCAGGATAAGTCAGGAACAACCATTTGAAGCAATTTAGACGTAGAAAGCAGTGGCATCGTATTTCCACATACGATTCATGGGATGTATCCCTCCGGCAGCGATCGGAGGTAGCCAACTGAAAGACGAGTATTGTATGAAGCCAATGCTGAATGTGTTGAGATCTCAAGCTATTTACATTGGGGCTCTCGACCACACAGACAGAAAAGTGTCTAGCTCTCGCATGCGCTGCATCTGTTGTGGAGTGCTTGCTTCAAGCCTGTCACCTTCTTTGACCAGAAGTCTTGTGTCTGTACATTAGCAACAGAAGATTCATGTGAATGTTTTGGACCTTCTCAAGTTTTCCTGGTTTTGTCGTCACTTAGGGGATGCGCTTGGAGTGGGGCTGGTCAAAAGTGTGCACCCTACTTGCAAGGATGAAGGTAAATATTGTACAGGGCTCGGCTGCAGTTGGAACAGATTTGCGATGATTTCTGGCACTCTTTGGTAGCACCACACAAAGCACAATGCGCACTTAATTGTTCAACGTTAAGCCTTTCCGACATCTTACATGATGGATGGCAGCCCGGCACACCTCTTTGGCTGGCTTCAAACCTCTGGGTATGATCGTGTTGCAATCATTTTCTTGAAGACATTTCAGAACCTCGTGGGCCGTCTCATCGCCTGCATTATGACGAAGGTGATCAGATCAATATTTGTTCCATTCCCGACAGCGCTCAAAACGGTCCCCAGTATACGCTGGGCTTCAACGGGTTTGTTGTCAGACAGCGTTGATCTTAAAAGAGTGGTTGCGATGAGATGCTAATTGAGTTTGGAGACTTCGGCATCTTTTTAGGCTGAAATGAAAAGTTTGCGGGATTGTGAAGGACAACGTTGACAGTAGGGAAAGATCATGCAAAAGGATGAATAATACCCGGATTTACCAGAGTGGTATTCATACCTTCGCATAAGTAATATAAGGAGGACTTGCAGAACTCACGTGTGTGCCCCATTGCTTCGTAAGATCGAACTTCTATCATCAGATGCAGAAGTAGCAATTTCTCATCATGGTTTGATCTAGGTGTTTTAGTTGTTCACCACATCTCAAAGTGACAAGAATGAGAAGCTAACCTGCAAATATTGCTCCATGTACATATCCATTGTACTGCTCACTGCAGTGTTCCCCACTGAAGTATAGACGTCCAACAGGTGCCTGATTCCACGATAAGTAAGACCCACAAAGAAATCAAACAGTTTTCAAAAGCCTGATTCAAAATGAAAATGTCCACACCACTCTGACTTCTAAGCTTCTTTCTAACGAAGTTTAGAGATGAAGTTGAAATTGACTCCAGAAACTGCATGTTTTGTTGGAACATCTGTTGAGCGTTAAGCCAAGGTATGAGTTTTCTACCTGCAGCTGCTTGTACTCGTAGCTGCTAACACCGATGGGCCAGTTGGAGAAGGTACCACGGAAGAACTTATCTTGCCACCATCTGGGATATAGAATATCTGTAGCATTTGGAATGTCCTGCCCAAACATCTTCCTTAAAACGACCATGATCTCTGCGAGGGTTTCGTTCTCGGGCATCTGTTCGATTCTCCGTGACTCATCATCCGTGACAGTGGTGAAGATGAGATTCTCACCGGGGAATTCATTGTCCAAATGCTATACATATGTATAGAATTTGAAGAAACAACACCATTGTGCAACACCAACGCACATGTCAATCCTCTACCTTGGGATTAAATAACAAGGGACTCCATGACTTAACTGTTCCGAAAAGTACGTTAAGTGAGTAATCATGTTTCAGCTCTGGCCAATAGGATGAACAGCAGTCCAAAGTGATACCTGCCAGAATGGAAAATAGCCTCGCATCTCATCAGCATAGAGGATGTACTCGGTACCAGGTCCAGTGGGCCAGAATGTTCTCGGAAACTTGAGAAAAATCTTCGTATATATTGCCATATTGAATTGGTAGATAGCGGAGAGTTTCCAAAACTGCATGGTCAAGGGCGATGAAGTCCATTACGCTGCAGAATGAAAATGTATACAAATGTAGTAGGCAGGGAAACGCATACGTGGTGGGAACCTGGGGCCACATGCTATGGAGAACAAATTCAAGGTAATAGTCCAGCAGTTAAAAGACCAGAAGGTTGAGCTCAGCACAAAAAGCTCATTTTGTTCTCCTCACTCTTTAGCAATTACTATGCTCTACGGGCGTCGTGAAATGAGGGCGCTGGTGAGTCTGGAGGCCTCTATAAGCAAAAAAGAAGAAGTTGCAAATACACTGGACAAACTTACAGGCAAATCAGGAGAAAAGTCAATCAGATCACTTTGAAGAACACCGATGCTAACGGTCAGTATCGCTGCCTTCGCCTTGTATATTGTACCATCCTCCGTGTATACCGTCACGCCCTCTGTGGAATATTCAATCTTGGTCACAACCTGAACATCAAAGAGTGCAATGACTGACTTAGTATGAGATCGTAAACTAAGAGACTGCTCTGGTGAATCAGTGAGTGTGGGTTTGAGCTTGGGTGTAGCGTAGGCTGCTGAGCAGCTATTTTTCCAAAGCTTGAATCAAAGTCTACACAGAAATAACGACAAATATTGACACAGGCGAAATTAGGGACTAACCGTGTTGAGTTTGAGGCGAGGATCTGTCCATAGACCATTTGCGCTGTTGAGATATTGAGCGAGAGGTTCAAGAACTGTAGCATATCCTCTTGGATCTGCCACAAAGAAGCTATCCGGGCCCAGTATGCTGTCTGTGGGCAATGGTTCACTGTTCTTGAGGCTCGTAACTCTTGGTGGTTCTGCAAGCAAGGAGGAAAATACATTGTTTCCAATTGTTACCTACAAGAAAACTTTCAGTCTGTATTTTCTTCGGAATAAACATTCACCTATCATGGAAGTCCTTGAAGGCGACCTGCAACTTGTGGTGAATCATGAAGATCTGGTAGTCTTCTAGTGCCTGGAAAGTCTAGTTCAGACATTCTAAGAATCAGAGCACAGTGATGGTAATCCTGTCGGCAGGTAGAATACTATACCTGCACAAGTGAAATCATAGTTGAACGAATCAATCACCATCTCGACTGGAGTTGATGGCACACTGGAAAACAGCAGACATTTCAGGTCTTAACAAACTGGGCACATTCTCCATTGTGAGGTTACCTTGTGAGCGATTGAATCAAGATGCTCAACCCTTACACACTTGTAAAAAAAGAAAATACGCATGACTGAGTCGAAAATCCAGTAATAATGTGCTCCGCACCTCATCACTGGAACATCGACTCAGGCATGCATCGGAAATCTATGATGTTACTACGCCCTTTTTGATACTCTAGTCAGTTTTGATTGAAGACATGGTATGTATGAAAGCGAGAAGGAATGAGCAGAACAATCGACAAGGTAAAAATGTACGCACTGTCCAAAGAAACGCTGTGCGGTTAATATGGAAATATCTTCCACATTCTCTTCGGTGAAATTGGTTCCAAGAGCTACCACGAAATCAAATGACTGTTCTGCAAGCTCCACCGCGGGCGCCACGACTTCAGGATCAAGATAACCTCTACACGACGGCCACAAAATGACGCAGAAAAATGAATCAGAAACGTAGTTCACGGTTATGATCAAAGTTCTGTAGGTCGATATTAGAGTCCTGGTTAGAGTTCTCCTCCATTCGAAGCATAAGATACGTGTGTGCAGATGTCTCCTAAACCCGATAAACTCTACTCACAAGATCAGATCTACAAGTTGTCAGAAACCACTTACGTATGATCGTAAATATTCTCCGTGCAATTGTCATAAAAAGAGTAGGAAAATTTGAGGTTCACTTCACTCGCCAGTCTATAAACCGGATTCTCCTTCTGCCCGTTGACTCCCTCGATCCAGTTGGCACCCAGTTCGACCTTAACTCCAGCGAAGTCCGCATTTCGAATTCTTCCCCCTACTTTTCCGGTGGCTTCCAGGATCACAAGGTCGGTGATTCCTCCTTCAGTCAGCGTCTTGCCAGCAGTGATGCCTGCATCACATTTGGATCCGTCCCGTCCTTCAGTCAGCCGGTTCTGATGATCAGACACTCTGCTCCAGTGGTATAGCGAGAGGATTCGATAACCAATATAATAGACGTAAATCAGAAGCAAACATGGTACTCAGAAGCACAAGTGGCGGCGATTATACTGGACCAGGCGGTTGGTAAGACAAATCGCAATGTACTCATGCAACTCAATCGTTCCAGCTGCTTTATAACTGCAGGACAAAATAGTACGTTCAAACGTCCTCAGAAGGCCATCATCCTTCGAAATAAGATGGATACTCAATTTTGAATTGGTATGATTGTCATAGAAGCGTATGAATCAGAGAATAGGTTTTTCAAAGATGGAAGGTTCAGAAAGTAACCACGTTGCTTTCCAAACATGGTCTAGATTCCGTCTGATCTGTGAAGGATTCAGCCAGAACCTTGTAGATATTCCAGTATGTGATGTGGGCTAGACGGACTAGAAGCTGAAGTATGATGATACAATGAGGTCTGATTTCGAAGGTTGTCTGAATTTGTTAGATCTATCATTTTCTTCTGACGTCATAATGAGGAAGAAACGAAGTGTACTCTCGGACAGACAGTCCTCATTAGATTTCTGACCCAAAGTCTAGCAATTGTTTGGTCAGTCCTTTTGCAGTAGTCGCTTCACGACAAGGCCTACAATGAGTAAAATGAACCATCAGAGATGAGTCGTAACCAACAAGTTGTAGATGCCCATGCCGTCCAATTGTTCATGGACAGACTTGCGCCTTTGCACTTTGACCTCACGAGTTGGATCAACCGCAGCTGCCAACGAGGAAGTTAGAGTTCGACCCTGAGAGGTGTCATATTGCAAGTAGTTGGCTTCTGAGCCGGACAAAAGAAATGAAGATCATTATATTGGGACCCACTCTGAATTGCTGTGAAGGACCGAAAGAAAGAAAGAAAGGGAAAAAGAAAGTAGAGAGATGTGGGAAATGCACATGCTTGGCATTTGTCTTTCGCATGAAGCATGGCTCCTATATTAGAATGCAAGCAAGAGCTCTATGATACCTGCCGCTCCAGCTCCAATGATTACAACATCCGTGGTGATGATGTCTCCAGCATGAACTTCTTGTAAGCATGTCGAGGCGACTATCACGAGAAGAACAAACACGTACGCGTGCGCCATTTCCAGTCGGTCTGAGTTCGAAGATTTCGACACCTTCGTCGCGAGGAGGATCATGAGACCTTCAGCTTCACAATTCGTCTGCACGTGAGGGTGCCTCATCAGTACACCGAGTCAGACTCATGGTCGCTTAAATCTCCACGCAGTATATTCAAAAGACTGGAAAATTCATGAGAATCCAAGAAGCAAATTTATATCAATCCAGTTGGGTGCTACACGATTTCTTCGTGAGACATGCACCAGGTCTGGTATCAGGATGTCATCCTGGTCACGGGCATGCGAGAGCGAAGGAGGTCTCACCGAATTTTCAAGACCAGCTTTTGCGCCGCTGCTGCTCTTGGCAAGATGGTCTGCAACGAAGAGGGAGCAGAAAACACCGATTTTGTAGTGTCCAACAAAAAGATGTCTCAAGGATTCCCACAGCACTTACCGAGCTACAATTGACGGCAACACGCAACCAATCTAGGCAGCCAGGCGGCCCAATACAACAGCCGCTACGCTACGACCGCGGCGTACTGCGAATCCAGTTGCGCTCAATTGCGTTCGCTCGCTCTACGAAACCGGTATTTGATTCTGTCTGACAGACGAGGCACCTACAAACTGCAGTGCCTCCCTACCATACCAACCATACCAGCCTGCCTGCCTGCCTCCTCCTAGCAATAGGTGGTTGAGTGAGGGAGAGAGAGCATTCCTCGGCATTCGAATCAAGCCGAATGACTTTAAGACTTTGAGCCAACTTTTCAACGTAGCAACCGAAGCAAGATGCCGGAGCTGCAGCAATAAGTGCTAGTGCTAGTAGTGCTGCTGCTGCTGCTGCTCTCTCCTGACAAATGCGCGCTCACAGAGGCATACATCATCTGATACGAATGTCCACAATTTGTCTCAAATTCCAGTCCAGTCCAGTCCAGCCCAGTCCAGCCCCGGTCCAAGCCCAGCCTTCAGGCCGACCAAATTGCTCGAATTGTCCAACCCGGCCAAGCCTTTCTGCAGTCATTTGAAGTTGTCAGAATCATTATCAGAGTTCGCGAGAATAATTAGCTGCTCAGCTGCTCTACGCTGTTGCAGTTGGAAGGAAAGGAGAGACTCCAAGGGCCCACGTCCCCCTCTCTCCTTTTCCATCCCTCCCTGCCTCCCTCCCTTTCTGCCATGGAGGTGGTATTGGTAAGGCAAGGGATGGGCCTCCAGAGGGATCATGGATGGACTGGACTGGACTGGGCACTGGAGGGAGAGTGGGCGCCTGCGGCCAAGCGGTGATTTAAGAATTCTTATGTATAGCGGCTGGTGGGCGGAGGCAAGGATGTTGGGCTTTGAATACGTGACGAACCATGTCAAGAGCACGATCCCAGTGACGACGACCCCAATGCCAATGCACGGACTTCACGCAGTCGCGGTTTGACCTCGTCACCAGTCCAGCCAATCCTCGGGCTTGTTTTTTCTCTCACCTCTCTCGCCCTCTCTCCACAGCGATCCATGCGTTATGTGAATGGCAAGTTGACCTCTGGACTGGAGACGATCATCAGATACCCACTCGTGGTAGTTTAGTTCTCTTTCAGCCTTCTTAGTTCTGCTTTGAGCTATTTCATGAGGCCAAGTAAGATTGTAAGATAAATCAGAGCAGCCAGTGGCGGATGATCTTTCGCCTACGGTGTTGTTGTTCTGATCATACTTCTCATGTGGTCCAATCATCTATAGCCCCATGTGCTATTGCTGAAATCTTCAGTCTTCAATGCCCTCTCGACGTACATGATATGTGCATGTTAGATGATTATCTATTGTAGTGAGTCTTCGATGTGTATTCCAGGATGAAAAGGTAAAACAACCTGTTTCTTAAAGGAACATCGCCGAAATGTATTACCCCTTGTGCAGTAGATACTCAGAGCTCGAGTATTGAATCACTCGAGTGATTCAATACGTACCATCACAAATACTGGTCAGCATGGCAGGACGTATGAAGTTATTGGAGGTCCAGCATCTACTGTGACCATATTATACCCAACCAGATGTGAATAGACGAAGTGCTGCCTACAGTGGTATCAAAAAAAGTTGCTCATCGACACAACAAACTATGCTGATATAAACTATAACCAGGACATTACATGTCGGCTATGTCATAGATTTTGGTCAGATGTTGCTGCTATGGTTGTTGTGTTGAATCTATAGATAAAGCTTCAAAAAATCTGTGTCTCCTGTCCTAAGTCAAAGCGGAATCTTGCGGTTCTAATATATAAAGAAGCTAAATCTACCTTCACTGCCCACAATCTGAGATGATTCTTCTCATGAGTGAATAAAAAGAAGATAAAAGCATAATTCTCCTCGTTCAAACTCATACATGCGTTTTGCTTTCAGTATCTGCCATGAAACTTTCATCTGCTAATATTATTCTGTCGCGGGAATTGTTAGCATTATACTTGATGGTCGACACTGACAAGAAAAATAAGACCTTAACACAAAAGAAAGCAGATGATCCGACTTGGAATTTTTGCACCGATTTCTAGGCAACACGAACTCAGAACCTTCTTTTGACGAGGCATGCCTAACATGTAGAGATAAACATAAAAATGACAACTAGTTTTATACAAATGAGCTCTTCCCCACGAAAAGTGTTATCCACAACTTTCATCAAAATATTCTTAGCGATAGATACTCACGTACTAGAAAACTTAAACAATTCTCACAGATAGAGATCTTATTATTTTACCAGCTAAAAATAAACGTGGAACATGCAATTCGATACCAAGAGACCCACCAGAGCATGGCCTGTACAAGACGAGGGAAGGGGCGGCAAGAAAACAGGTGGAGTGACATCTCTTTACCTTAGTTCCGCACGAAGCACGTCATAATCATTTACACGAGGTTTCATAAATTTATTCTTGCTATGCATTTGCATACCCAACACTCCTCTTGAACGGTCAGCAAGGAAAAGTTTGTAAATCATTGCCTTCAAACCAACTTTTTTTCTCATCAGAGTATCATTTAGAAGTGAAGGTCTCATGTGGACTCCTCTGAATAAAATATTCCATAGCTCCCGAGTGATATTTCTCGCAGACAAACTTGTAATATACACAACTCAGTTCTAGAGTGTTGGATATTGGTATTCTCCTAGATCTTGATTTCTTATTCCTAGGTGCATAAACGGTTGAAGTTACATTTGGTAGGTTGAATATTGATGACTATAAGTAATATTATCACATACTTACATGCAATAAATAATGATTTGGATAGTGTATAGGTTTTATGTCAATGACAAAAGTGTTTACATGACTCATGTACACAAGAATCGTATTAAATAACTCGCAATGATATCATTAGGGATATGATATTTTGAATGATACAGAATTGTGAATATATTACATGGAAAATTTTGAATCCAAATACACTCAAATACATTTATGATTTAGAAAGAACAATCTAGGGTTGCAGATGTATAATTATTGATATTACACATGATATAATTTGGGTGTGGCTGGCTATAACTCCCTTAGAATTAATTAGCCATCATCCTACTATACGCTAGTTACTCATGGGTGGCGTTAGGTTATAGGTTCTGTGGGATGAGTAATAAATTTCGCGGGTTTTATTTCTTTCCGCTCTTTTACCATGATGATTCCGTGGCAAGAGCCACGTCAAACCCAGTGGAAAATAATCTGCGTCGTAAAAGTATGTAGGCCACTAACTAGAGAGTCGCTCAATCATCCTTGCTAGAGATCAATTTCAATAAATCGTCCTACTTCGACGTGACTACGATTTACTTGACTTTGGTAATCATGCCATGCATCTAACCTAAATAAGAGCCATCACTTAAGGACATAATTGCCAATATTGTGCAATTTTTTTCATCTAATAACATTGTCAAAACTATCTTTCACAATATGAAGATGATATTCTTGCTTGCAAGCCACGAGTATCATCCAAGTGAGCGGCTCAAGGCACTTAGTGATTCCAAACTCAACGCTTAATCGGATTTAAGATTTTCACGAGCATTCCATGTTTAAACATAAACAACAAACATGCATGATACTTTTGCTAATTCCTTCTCTTCAACAATCATAGCAAATAATGAAATCTTTTGAATTCCAGGAGTTCATCGATACTCAACATTTGGAGTATTGTAGACTATCCAGTCTGGAGCTGGTCTTATCATAGCACATGGGAAAAATTGTACCGCGATCAATTTTGGCACCCTTCAAGCATTTTTGTTAGGAGTTGGTTTTGGCAAACTACATGTAGTGCATAAAAGGTCTCCAAAAATTATGACTTCCTACAAGTGTTAGTTGTAATGACATCCTGCGCAGGCTCCTAACGAAGATCAGACGAGAGAGTAAGAGAGCAACAACTCTATCCACCATAGGGGACAACATTCACCGTGGATCTCGAACGCGGAGGTGGCAAGCATGGGTTTAACGTGGCTCTTGCCACGAAGTCATCATGGAAGAAGAGCGGAAAGAAGGAAAACCCACAAAGTTTATTACTCATTCCACGAAACCTATAACCCAATGCCATCAATGATTGAACAATGTATACAGTAGAAAATGTCTAAGTTAATACTGCCGGGACCGATGCATCTGTATTAATTTAGACAAGATATTAATAAAAAGAGGATCAATAAATAATTCTATGTTCGCGTCATTTGTAACATTCGAGAGTATTGCTCTTTCAAGAGATATTCAAACCTTGGTTCAAAGAGGCTTGATACTGGAACCGAATGTATAGTCGCAATCTCATCGACTATCATGCTGAGCGCAAAGTTATTTATGTTTCAACTCAAGAGCAAATTGTGCATGAGCTCTCCATCAATACTGTGCTAGAAGATGAAGCGAAGACCGACGAAGAATCAAAAATCTATTTCCGTGGAGGCAACTGAAGCATTCTAGTGTGCAAGTTTGTTGTAACAGTTCTGGACACAGAAAGACATCATCTATCATGAGATCCTTGCTGCCATCCAGATAATCAAAGATAAGATTAGCATTATGAGGTCTTGCAAGCTTCTTTGGAATTCAATCTCGGTATAATTTTCCAAGGTTTAGCGGCCCAAATGTAGAAAATTTGTGTTAAATCTATGTTCCTCATAGTGTTTATCAATATTAAAAATATTTGGGATCGCAAGTGAAGTATCAATTATTAAATTTTAGAGATTTATAAATAAATGTATGAGAATCGACTTGGGATTGGACCTCACATATTAACTATAACATATTATTAATTTAGGCAATATTAATTTAGAGAGATTCTACGGTAGTAGAGTGAGAGCTAATTGACTCTAAGTGAGGGGAAACTAGCCGCCCCTACATTTTCTATGTTGATTATTGTACATATTCTTGTATGGGCTACAGGAGACAAAGACCTCAAAAATAAAGCTATGTGGAGATTTAATATTAGTTATTATAACATTAGAATAATGAAGCTATGTATGCGAATATCAATATGTTTGTGAAAGTTAGCATAAGATTTTGATTTGTTATGCGATATTGGGTATCACTATCTCTGATTTATTCTATGTTTCATTTCAAACAAGTTACAATCTGATATTGACAAAATTTAGCTAGTGCTAGAAATAGTAAATAAAGCCGTGGATATTGACGTTGTATAATAATCTACATCAATTGATCTACATTATTTGGATCTTTTAGATGAATGTTGATTATAAAATGTATTGTGATTATATTGTGGTATAGCTCTTACAATCTCTATGATTTCATATTTGTAAGATTCATTAGTGTAAATTTCAAGAAAATATTAGATTTCATCGTTTACATGATAATTCATTTGGTCCCTACTATGTTGTTATGCCTAAAATTCCATGATAATCATATTTTTTATAGTAAAGAATTATATACCCTAAAGTAAAATAAAACCTAGAAAATTTATATAAATTTCAAATTAATTTAAAATATAAAATACGACTGATTCATATATACTAAAAATAAGTAACTGATATTGTTAATTTCTTTGAATGAAAATGAGAAAGAAATGTTTCAAGTTATTTTCTTTGGGACACATTATCTGATGTAAAACCTAGAATAATGCTACAATTTTTAAGTTCCAATTTTTATTTTATGGAATGCCAAAATCTTGAAGATTTATTTTCACATCATTAAATATAAGTATATGATCTAGATTAGCATTTATACAGTATATTAAAATTTTTTTTTCTTCACACAGCAAATAATTTATACATTTAAATTTTGTAGAATTTAGAGTTAAGCAAACATATGAATGAAAGTGAATTATATCAAAAACTGGTGCACTTATCATAATTTT